TCAATTCAACATTTCAATTTCAATTAAAAATCAAATTAATTCTTATTTGAACATTTATAGCTTACAAACACATACTTTTAGGAATATTATTCCAATTGATGTCTACGTAACCATCTCGGTCTTCTCTAGTTTGTTCGTGCCAGAAACCCATAGCGTGAGTGATTTCATGCACGGGAGTTCCTACAGAATATGCACAACCATTACTCTGCAAGTTCACCTGTTGTTCACCACCACGCATGCCAATCCAGCTCCAACATCCAGAATTTTCGCTTTTAATATTAATATAATCCTTTTGGTTTGTCCTTTGTACAAGTCGTACACATGTTTTAGTATTAATTTGGTTTATCGCATTATTTATATTGTTTCTTTCATTCTGAGCTGCAATGTAAAAGTTATAAATATTACAAATTTTTCTTCTTTTATTATTTATATAAAATTATACTCGAAAAAGTTTGAATATATATTGTATAAAATTGATTCTGATATTATCGATATTACTACTGTGTCTAATATGATTTGATGTTTCTTTTAATTAACTAGATACATGAGAAACATTTATTACTTTTACAATGACAATTTAATTATAATGAAATAATTTTAAACTACTGAATTTTTATTCAATAATTTCGAAAGATATGGTACAGTACAAAATGTCTCAATTTTTATTCTCAAAGATACTTACTGTAACTGCCAGTAATTACGTACGGAATCTGTCGATTAGACCAACGCTTTGCTTTAGTATCACCGTTTCTTGTGGTGCTGTTTGAAATCATGATATCTCCCTCGAAGTAGTTACCCAATTCTTCAGGGTTTACGTTCATTTCCTTGGTCCATTCCGCTATCTTGACTCCTGTTTCGTAATCTGGTTCCGTCTTGTAATTCTCCTCAATATCCCTTGAGTAAGGGCTCGCCCCCACCGATTCAAATATTGTGAGGATGAGAAGCGTCGACGTGAAAGTGACTAACAATCGACACATGATGGATATGAAATCAAATTACAGCAAGTTACCTCTTCAGCTA